CATCACTTCATGAATTGTGATACAACAAAGCCAACCAACAAAGCACATGAAATCATAATCAAGATCTTCATGTTCACCACTTTCTTTTTTAATTCCCTTGATTTGTTGACTTGATAGTTGTCATGCTTTTCAAATCAATTTTTTGCTTCCAATTATCTCTTTCTATCTTAATCGCGTCCAAGGAGGTATTTAAAGTATGGATTCTAAATGTCGTTGCCTCCAATTAGCCTTTAAATTACTAATTACCATCAACGCTCTATTTGGTAGCACATCATCGCGCCACTCCAAGTAACCATAAGAATCTTGCTGTCCAACCAAATAAAAAAAAACTCGCATTACCAACTGTTATATAAAGAGAAAAAACTGAAAATTATAAAATAACAAAATTAAGAATAATAAAAAATATAACTTACTTCAGGTTTCGGACACTTGTAAAATCTCCTTCCAGGATTATCAATGCTTTTAGAGGTGAAGAAGTTATTAATTTTACTGCAATAACATATCATCTTCGATGCACAACTTTTTTCCGACATTATACCATTTCTAATGGTTAGATAGATATGAAACCTAGAAGAAAATAACCCTAAGATTCAATGAATCGAGGTTGAAGAACCAAGAAGTTCATTTTTTGAAGGAACCATAGAGAAAAAAGCTACCCGGCGAGATTTTAGGTTCATACAAGATTTTTGTTTGAAAATAGATATTATTTGTCTGCGGTTATGATTAATTAAAGGGTATTGCATTGGGTAATGGGGCGGTTCAGGGTATATATGGGTTTTTCTTTGTTTGGGATAGGTTAGTCGTTCCGGAGGCGATACAATCTTTCAAAGTAGAGGGATATATCTGGCATTTTTTTCTTAACTTATATAGTCATCCACTCAATAGTTTAAACAAAAATATTTATGTATACCAGCTATAAAAAGTAAATGGTGAATCCGACTAGCTATTTGTGTAAAGATTCCTTGATTTAATCAAAACTTGAATTTTCATTGATTTCTAACCCACTTTGCAAATGAAATATTCACATGTTCTTTTTACCATATCTCTTGTCTTCCTAATGAGATATGAGATAAAGTTTAATTAATATCCGGTGTTATAAATAAATTTTACACTAGGTCAATTTTACTATTGAATAGGTTATTCTATATTTCAAGATTACAAATTTCACTTGTTGAAAATAACTCTATTATTTGACTTTATAAACAACTCTGTGAGGCGAATCGTTTGAAAACCCTTTTGAAGACCCAATTGATGGAGTGTGACCTCGGCCCATCAGGTTTACTGTCACGACCCGAATTTTTCCCACCATCGGGCGTCGTGATGGCGCCTACTATCGGAGCTAGGCCAGCCATACATTAAACATTCGCTATTCAACCTCAACAATATAATATACTAACAACAGTTAAAGAAATGCGGAAGACTTTAAGTTTAACAAAAGATATAAAAATGCCGAAGTTTGAAACACATCCCTACCCAAAATCTGGTGTCACTAGCTCATGGACTACTATAGAATACTACAACAAGTCTGAATGAAAGAAATACACATGTCTGTTTCGGTACAATGAAAACAAACTGAAATAAGGAAAGGGACTTCGGCCTGCGAAGGCCAGCTAGGCTACCTCGAGAGTCCCTGGACTGAAGATAGCTCCCGGATAAGAATCCTACTGCTGCTGTCCAAAAGCTGCTCCTGGATCTGTGCACAAAGAAATGCATAGAGTGTAGCATCAGCACAACCGACCCCATGTGCTGGTAAGTGCCTGGCCTAACCCCGGCGAAGCAGTGGCGAGGCTAGACAGGACTACCAAACCAACCTGTACAATTTTTATATACAAACATACAACAAAAGGAAAGAAAATACCGAAACTACACAGCTAAAAGGAAGGGAAACATGCTATAGGGAGAGTACAATTTGGATATAAAGTTCATCAGCGTAAATAAGAAACATGGCACAACAATAATTAACAAAGAATAAGAAATTCAATAGTTGCACGGCATCACCCTTCGTGCTTTTACTCTCAATCTCACCCAAAGCAATCAAATAAAATGCACGGCATCACCCTTCGTGCTTTCCCTCACATAGCTCTCATCTCATGGCACGGAATGACCCTTAGTGCAAAAATAATCAAATTAGAGCACGGAATGTACCTTCGTGCATAAATAGTCAAAACATAGCACGGAATGACCCTTCGTGCAAATATAATCAAGAATAGCACGGAATGACCCTTCGTGCAATTTCACTCTTCCTCACCCAAATAACAGTCACAACCAAACGGGCAAGAGAAATAAACAAGTAATATGAACTATCCCGACAAGGGAACAACACAAATAACAACCAAGACCCGGCAAGGGAACAATAACAACATCTTTCACAACCCGGAAAGGGCAATACTCACTGTAATCAAACCATCACGGCAAGGGATTAATCACACCTCTTTTCTATACGTTCATCTCTGACTCAATGGTATTTAACACTCGAGCCAATGCTCCAAAATATTAATATTTCACAACTTATCCTCAAACTCTTCACATTTGCAGAAAAACATGTTGTAGCATAGAAGAGTTCCAAATTATCTCAAAAACAAGTACAAACAAAGACCCACGGTCATGCTAGACTCCGGTGTATAGACACTCGTCACCACGCCTATACACCGTACTCGATCAATTAGCAAATAGCATTTATGATACTCTAATCCTATTCCCTCAAGCCAAAGTTAGATCAAACACTTACCTCGGTCCGAAAATAGCAATCAAGCCTCTAACACCGCCTTTCCTCTAGAATTCGACTCCGAACAATGATATCTAATCATAAATAATTTAATAATATCAAATGAGGCTCAACAACATAATCCCATAGCCTAGAATGAATTTCCTACCATTCTTCCAAAAATAGCAAAATCCGACACCGGGCCCACATGGTCCAAACTCGAGCTCGGACCAAATTCCAATCACCCATAACCCCACGAGTTCAAATATATAATTTGCTTCAAGATCCGACCCCAAATTGAGGTTGAATCGCCCAAAACTTTCAAAAACCTAACTCTACCCAAAAGCCCTAATTTCTACCTTGATTTCATGTTTTAGACATAAAAACTTACTAATTAATGAAGGAAAAGTGAAGGAAATGAGTGGGGAATTACTTACCCAAGTGGTCTTGAAGAGAGGGAGCTTTAATGGCTTCCTAAATCTTGGGGGAGAAGAGAGTTCGTGAGGAATTTGAATGAAACCCGTATGTTCTGATTCTGGAAACTTAAAAATATAACTGGGTATTTTTGTTCTATGCGTTCGCGACAGGGGTGTCGCGTTCGCGAAGAAGGGGGAACTGGCAAGCTACGCGTTCGCGGGGGAAGGGCTGCGAACGCGAAGAGGAAACACTGAGGGTCCAAAGGAATGGCCTACGCGAACGCGTTGACCATCACGCGAACGCGATGAAGTAAGGCTGGGACTCTACGCGAACGCGATCCAGCTAACGCGAACGCGATGAAGGAAGGAGGGCTGGGCCCTCAGAGTTCAACAGCTCTATGCGAACGCGAAGTAATGATGCGAACGCGGTGAAGGGGAACACCATGAGCAGTGCGAACGCGAGCCTAAGGCCGCGATCACGGAGAAAAAAAGGCCTGTGCAAAATTGCAGAAAATCTGCTATATTTTTAAGTGCAAAAACACCCCGAACCACCTCCGAAACACTCCCGAGCCCTCGGGGCTCCCAACCAAACACACACACTAACTCAATATCATCCTACGAACTTGCTCTCGCGATCAAATCGCTAAAATAACATCAAAATCAAAGAATCAACCCCCAAAACTCATAATTTTCATTTCATAGTTCATAAACCTTCAACTTTAGCTATTTAGGTCCGAAACACGTCAAACGACGTCCGATTTCGACCAAATTTCACAGGAAGCGCTTAACGCATATTTAAGACATGCACCGGGCGTCGGAGCCAAAATACGAGCCCGATACTTATATTTTCTAACTCATTTTCATTTCCGTTTTTCCTTATTAATTTCAGAAAACAATTTATCAGGAAAATTCTTTTACCGGGGTTCCGGACTTCGGATTTCGACTCCGGGCACATGCCCGAGTCCCATATTTTTCTACGGACCTCCCGGGACCGTCACATCGCGGGTCCGGGTCCGTTTACCCAAAATGTTGACCAAAGTCAACTATATCAATGTTAATATCATAATTCACCAAATTTTTCATAGAATTCATATATTTTAACATAAAAATTTTCCGGCTTCGCGCCCGGAGTGCGCATGCAAATCGAGGCAACCAAAAGTGAGGTTTCCAAGGCCTCAGAAGCACAGAACGAATGAGGAAACAGGTGATGACCCTTTGGGTCGTCACATTTACTTGATGGCCCAATAATTAGACTGTGTATCTAAAACCATGAAAATAGCACGGGCTAGCTAGTTTTCAGACTGATAACTGAAAATAGCAGCGTTTGCAAATTCATTGAAAAATAACCACTATTTTGCCGAAACATGAAAAGTTCCAGTATAATATGCTGGATTATAAGGCTCATGCGTATAAACTTCTAGTATATTATGTTAGAACTCCAGCACACGGAAAGTTCCAGCATGGATTATCGAGCTCCTATGTATAAACTTCCAGCATATTATGTTAGAACTCCAATACATTATAAAATTCCAGCACATTATGCTAGAATCTCATATATAAAAAATTTGAACTCCAGCATATTATGCTGAAATTTTTCTGGATTTTAAAGGGTTTTTTTGTTCACATTTTATTTTTACATGGAAAAATGGCCAGATTTTAATTACTTTTAAAATTGTAGCTATCTTTCAATTACAGTTATAATTCTGGCTATGTTTTTTTCTCGAAACCCACTCCAAAAACCTCACGAGAGCTGTCAAAATAAAAATAAAAAATAAAAATTGAGAAGTTGATAAGGTGATTGGTCACAAGGAAATCTGACAAATGGATAAGAAAAATGTACAATAATCCCAACTACCTATTAATCAGGAAAAATAGAACAAAATAACACTAACTTTTGAGTATCACCTCTTAAGTTCACATACTATACTTGATTCTTGAATATTGGACTAAAATTTTCTTGCCATAAAAATGGCTGCCTTGACACGTGTATCACCTTACCAATGCCATAAATTAAGTTTGGTAAATCATAGACATCCAGAGTTGTCCTCACTTCTAGCAACTACCTCATCATTTGTTTCATTTCCAAAGAAAAACAAGAAATTTAGCAAATTCTCAGTTTTGGCCATGGCTGATTTGAACACAAGCACTGTTCTTGTTACTGGTGCTGGTGGCAGAACTGGTAAATTTTCCTTTTTGCCTTTTTTGGGGTTTCTTGATTTTGACACATTCATTCATCGCTCAAGGGTTTTAGAGCATTTATATATGTAATCTTCATTTTCTGAAAATTTTAAATTGTTGAATGCGGAGTACTGCTGTAACCACTGCTAATCTTTGGCTATGGGGTGTTAATTCAGTATATATGCAGTTTGTGGGGTCTAATTCTGGGGAATTCTGGTTATGATTTTGGCTTTTTTTGTTGGAAGTAATGTTAAGGGGTTATGTGGGATTGAGGCATTGAAATTTGTATGAGCATGATCATAAGGAGACCTAACTAAGGCACATGATGATTACACAATTGTATTCATAAAAGGGCTTAGCCTACTGGTCAATTAAGTGGATGGAAATTAAAATCCCACGGGTTCAAATCCAATTCGAGACAAAAAAAAACTAGGTTATTTCTTCCCGTCTGTCTAACCCTTGGTGGACCGAGTTACTCCATACCTATACTGTGCTGGTGAGAAGTAGCAGGTATTCGGTGGATATAAAAAAGCTGTTGAATGGAAATCCGGTGATACATATTGTACTAGAACATATTGCTTTTGTCTTTCCCTTTTTCTCCCTTCAAAAAAGAATACTCTAAAAGAAGAGATAGGAGCCCAAGCAGTTAGATTATTTTTGCGTTGAAGTCTTGCAACAGTAATATATGGATTTGTCCTATAAGCATTGCTTCTCAAATCTATTGAGGAGGTTCTTTATAGCTTTCAAGAATGTACAAAGCAACAACTATTCTTAGAATTTTGCTTCTTAGGCTTCTTAGTAAATGACTAATGCTAGAATCAATCATGTCAAGTGGCCATGAGCTTTAGGGTATGATGTAGATTGAGCTATTCCTGTTCCTCTCACGATCAAACAATTTCACGGCTCCCTCATTAACAAGTTGTTTACATTGTAGGATCAATTGTTTATAAGAAGTTGAAGGAGAGGTCAGAGAAATATACAGCGAGAGGATTGGTTAGAACGGAGGAAAGCAAACAAAAAATTGGCGGTGCCGATGATGTTTATATTGGTGATATCAGGGATACTGAGAGTATTATTCCTGCCATACAAGGTATTGATGCTCTTGTTATTCTTACAAGTGCTGTGCCAAAAATGAAGCCTGGGTTTGATCCAACTCAAGGTGGAAGACCGGAATTCTATTTTGAGGATGGGGCATACCCTGAACAGGTATAGAAAGCTATGGCTACTCATGTCCTCAGGCTTGTAGTTGTCTTTGTCTGACACAAAAAAATGCTGACTTTGTATTTGTAGGTAGACTGGATTGGCCAGAAGAACCAAATAGATGCTGGTAAGGAGTCATCTTTGACACTATTGCTACTGGATATAGGATGCTCTCTGTTTATCTTAGATATACATTTTGCATGTTTACAGCTAAAGCTGCTGGTGTGAAGCAGATCGTGCTAGTTGGGTCAATGGGAGGGACAAATCCTAACCACCCCTTGAACAGTATTGGAAACGGAAATATACTGGTTTGTTCCTTGACTCTTTTCCTTTATTTCTTCTATTATTTTGGCCTGAGATGAACGTAGATAGAGGAAAATGGTCAGTGAGGATTCATATTGCCAACCCAACTTTTTGGGACTGAAGCGTAGTTGTGTTCTTTCTGCCATTTTAATGGCCATCTTACCTGAACTTTTCTTGCTAAATTAGCCTCTGCTTGCATTTTAGACGGGTACTGCTACTTCTCAGTTATGCTTATGGCAAAAAATGTAATTTCACGTGCATTCAAGAATTTTAATTGCTGGCAGGTTTTAGTCGATGGTTCTTAAAATAGTTATTACCTTTTTCCTTTTGACCTGCTTTATTTGTTGGAATCGTTTTCATCGAAAAGTTCTGCCGGACTAACTTGTGTGAAGGTTACAGGTCTGGAAGAGAAAGGCTGAACAATACTTGGCTGACTCTGGTATTCCTTACACAATTATAAGGTTTGTTCAATTTAAATATTTCTATAAATATCTGTTTGAGCCTACAGAAACAGAAACACTTTGAATTTGGGTCTTGTTAATCCAAAGCTGCTCCTTTAGACCATCTCCAACCTTACACTAAATATTACACCAAATCCTATTTTGGTGTAATATTTGGTGTTTTGGTGCTGCAACCCAACACCATTTTGGTGTGTGAATAGTGTTACACCAAATGGTGTTACACTATTCATCAACACCACTACTATTCATCAATATTTTATTATTAATTTTTATTATATAACACTTTTAATATAACATATTATAAATTTTACTTGTTTCATTTAGGTCCCTAATATACCTAATTATTGTTTATGTAATATCTTTATAATATTAGTTCTACATCTTAATTTTGTTGTGTAATTTTTATAAATTTATATTCGTATATATTAGTTTTATATAAAATTGTAAGTTAATTTTATTATAATTTATAATTGTATAAAAAAATATAACCATCACAAAAATGAAAAGTTCAAATATAAAATATAATATGTTGTTGATAAATAACGTAAAAAAAATATTTAATAAATTAGTGATTGACATAGATTAAAATTGAAATACATTAAATAACATAATAATTAGAAAATTATAACAATAATTTAGTACTCTAGTCGGTCGATTCTAGATCCACCAATCTCATTAAAAATATTGAGTGTACGGGACAGAGGATTGTTGTGGTTGTTGAAATTGTTGACTTCTTTTATCCGTATTTGTTCTTGTCGAATAAATTCACGAATATTTAGATCCTCAATAGAATCTAAATTCGACAATAAAATTTAGTTTCTTCTTAAAATTCTTTTAGTTTCAAAGCTGTATCTTTTATCTTCATATCTCGCTGCCTGTCTGCACTTGACTTTGCCAATAACTCAACAAGCTGATTATTTTTAGATTGGACCATTTTCATAGCAGATGAAAGACCTTCATCGATTTTTCTCTTCATTTTTGCTTTCTTCAACCCAATAGGTCGTTCTGATGATGTGGAATCACCTGCAACATCCTCATTCAAATTTAGTGAAAATGATAATAAGTTAGGAGATGATACTAGAGGTGAATCTGGAGTAGGAGTCTCAGACTCCGATGATATATAAGAAGAGTCTTGCTTTCGAACTTTTTTTTTTTCCAGCATCGACATTTTTACACTTCTCAAAATCCTTCAACATATCCCACACATGATCAAATTTAAAACCTATTTTGTAGTTTGGATCTTGCATTAGTAAACATTTTGCTTGATTAATCTGCAATATTTAAAAAAAAAAAAATTGAAGAGAAACGGTAAGTAAATATATACAAATAAAGTATAAGTAATTACAAAATAAATACTCACAATATCTTTATCTGAAGCACCATTAGGATGCAAATTTTCAACTTGACGTGCACATCCATTTAATTTTTCTTATAGCCTCCCCAATAACTTGAATTCGAGATTGCATCGATCTTCTGTTGTGATACTCCCAACACGCATCCTTTGCATTATTGTATGCTTCCTCCACTCGACCCCAAAAATGATCTCTAGATTGATGTACACCTGTTATTGAATCTTGAGAAACATCTAAATAAACTTTGCATAATAGCATATTTTCATTGGTAGGGTATCCTGTAGATCGAATGGACATTTTTGCAAGTGATTAGAGGAAAAACGGATTATATGGTTAAGGAAAAACAAAAGCCAACTTCGTATGAATGGGTATGTTGGCACTTTAATATATATAGATATAAGTAGAGCAAAAAATTGACATAATACATACTTAGATTTCATCTTGATCTCAACCGGATGGATTTCATCCTAATCTCAACCATCGTATGGATTTCATCCTTATCTCAAATTTATCTTTAGGTAAAATATCTCTACACATTATTCAATGTGTAGAGATAAAGTAAACACAATTATTGACCGAATAATAATAGGATAGATTTTATCTTGATCTTAACCATCGGATGAATTTCATCCTTATCTCAAATTTATTTTTAGATAAAATATCTCTACACATTCTTCAGTATATAGAGATAAAGTAAACGCAATTATGACCAGATAATAATAGGATAGATTTTATCTTGATCTCAACCGTCGGATGAATTTCATCCTTATCTCAAATTTACTTTAGGTAAAATATCTTTTGAATGTTGGAATACGGTTTGCCAGCAGATAATAATCCAAGTCTACCCATCGCATTCTAAATTTAGAATACGGTTGGCATACGGTTTGCCAACCGTATGCCAATATTCTAAACACAACTGTGATTTCTTGTAGAGTAGATAATCCAAATCTACCCATCATATCAACGCGTTGTTCGAAGTACGTATCATAAGCTTTAATTGCATCAACAATATGAAGGAACAAATTCCGGGATATCTGATATCGATGACAAAACATATCGTCATTAAAGTGTGGATTATCCGAAAAATAATCGAAAAATAAATTATTATCAGCTGCTTCACAATCTCGATTGATTACCAAATGACCTGGAACGGAGCCAACTCCGAAAACTTCATTATTTTGATATCTTGCAAATGCTGCAACATATAGTTGTTCATGCGAATATTTTGCAAGATTACTTGATGCTCTTCTGCAGTAGTATCATCTAAATTTAAAGATGATAATGATGAAGAGGAATTTTCATCATTATTATTAGATGAACCTCCAGTATAGAAATTCATTTTCAGAACAAATGAGAATAGGCTTTGAAATGAACTGGAAATCCTGAGTTATTTTCCTAAATGATGTTCACTTTTATAGATTGAAGAATGTATAGAGATATTTTGCATAAAGATAAATTTGAGATAAGGATGAAATCCATCCGACGGTTGAGATCAAGATAAAATCTATCATATTATTATCTGGTCATAATTGTGTCTACTTTATCTCTATACGTTGAAGAATGTGTAGAGATATTTACCTAAAAAAAATTTGAGATAAAGGATAAAATTCATCCGACGGTTGAGATCAAGATAAAATCTATCATATTATTATTCGGTCAATAAGTGTGTCTACTTTATCTCTACACATTGAAGAATGTGTAGAGATATTTTACCTAAAGATAAATTTGAGACAAGGATGAAATCCATCCGATGGTTGAGATTAGGATGAAATCCATCCAACGGTTGAGGTCGAGATGAAATCTAAGTATGTATTATGTATATTTTTGGCTCTACTTATATATATATATATATTAAAGTGCCAACATACGAAGTCGGTTTTTGTTTTTCCGTAACCATATAATCCATTTTTCCTCTAATCACTTTAAAAAAATGTCAACTCGATCTACAGGATCGGGCTGGGCATATATCGGGTAAAACCGATAACCCGAACCGTTATTTATTGGGTTATCGGAATTGGGTTATTGGGTTAACGGTTCGGTAACGGTTTAGAATTTTTTCACTATTGGGTTATCGGTTCGGGCCTCGGTTTGGCAATTGTGTTAATGGGTTAAACGATAACCCAACAAGGATTAACGAAATTACTACTTGAATTTGAACTGTTGTTTGATTCTATCGAATTGGTACCATTCTTGACTACTTCAATATGTGAATATTAGTTGCAGATTTTGTGCTTAGCAGCAACATTATGTTGATGTTTGTAGTGTTGGAAACTGGAAAGTTGGTTCTTTACTTCTTGGGTTCTTTGTTCTTCTTGGAAACTGGAAATGTTGTCAAATTGTTTCAATACCAATAGTAGGGTTTCCATTTATTACGACAGTATTGAAGTGAAACTGTTTTACAACTCTCAACAAATTGAATATTAGTTTCTCCAAGCAGAAGCCTCAAATATTAGTTGTGGCCAAAACGCAAAAATTAGTTTACTACATGTGAATTGTTTACTCTTTTTTGCTTAACTCTAGATTGAGTTATCTTATCGGGTAAATCGATAACCGGTTAATCGATAACCGATATCTTATCGGTTCGGTTATCGGTTTACCATATTTGTAAACCGATAACAGATACGCTAAACCGATAATATTTACAACTGAACCGAACCGACCGATGCCCACCCCTACTACAGGATACCCTACCAATGAAGATATGCTATTATGCAAAGTTTATTTATATGTTTCTCAAGATTCAATAACGGGTGTACATCAATCTAGAGATCATTTTTGGGGTCGAGTGGAAGAAGCATATAATAATGCAAAGGATGAGTGTTGGGAGTATCGCAACATAAGATCGGTGCAATCTTGAATTCAAGTTATTAAGAAGGCTATAAGAAAATTAAATGGTTGTGTACGTCAAGTTGAAAATATGCATCCTAGTGGTGCTTAAGATAAAGATAGTGTGAGTATTTATTTTGTAATTACTTATACTTTATTTGTATATATTTACTTACAGTTTCCCTTCAATATTTTTTTTAAAATATTGCATATTAATCAAGCAAAATGTTTACTTATGCAAGATCCGAACTCCAAAAAAGGTTTTAAATTTGATCATGTGTGGGATATATTAAAGGATTTTGAGAAGTTTAAAGATGTCGATGCTGGAAAAAAAAAAGGTCGAAAGCAAGACTCTTCTTAAATATCATCGGAGTCTGAGACTCTTACTCCTGATTCACGTCTAGTATCTTCTCCTAACTTATCATCATTTTCACTAAATTTGAACGAGGATGTTGCAGGTGATTCCACATCATCAGAACGACCTATTGGGTTGAAGAAAGCAAAAATGAAGAGAAAAATCGATGAAGGTCTTTCATCTGCTATGAAAATGGTTCCAATCAGAAAATCGGCTTGTTGAGTTGTTGACAAAGTCAAGTGCAGCGAGATATGGAGATAAAAGATAGAGCTTTAAAAGTCAAAGAATTTAAAGAAGAAACTAAAATTTTATTTTCGAATTTTGATTCTATTAATGATCCAAATATTCGTGAATTTATTAGACAAGAACAAATATGGATTTAAAAATTCAACAATCCTCTGTCCCATACACTCAATAGTTTAGTGATATTGGTGGATCTGGAATCGACCTATTAGAGTACTAAATTATTGTTATAATTTTCTAATTATTATGTTATTTAATGTATTTTCAATTTTAATCTATGTGAGTCGTTAATTTATTACATATTTATTTTTATGTTATATATTAACAACATATTATATTTTATATTTGCACTTTTCATTTTTGTGATGGCTATATTTTTTTATACACTTTTAACTTATAATTTTATATAAAACTAATATATACGAAAATTAATTTATAAAATTATACAACAAAATTAATATTGTAATTACATAAAAATAATCAGGTATATCAGGGACCTTAATGAAAAAATAAAATTTATAATATGTTAAATTAAAAGTGTTATATAATAAAATATTGATGAATAGTGTTACACCAAACTTGATGTAACACTATTCATCACCAAAATGGTGTAAGAAATGGTATTGGGTTGGAGCACCAAATATTACACCAAAATAGAATTTGGTGTAATATTTAGGGAAATTACCAGCTATGTCCATTTACATGTAGCTCATTACAAAAATTGGCCACTTGATAAAATATTACTAATATTAGCCAATTTAGCCAATTAGCTATTTGTAGCAAAAAAATATCAAATTTTGCTTTTTGAGTGGGTGCTATTAGAATAGATTGGGCACAACTTAAGGAGCTTGAATCTCAGTTTTGGGATGATTTGGTGAAGTTTTGAGGTGTTTTGAATTGAAAATTCGAAGTAAAAGCTGAACATGAAAAAAATGAGATGTGTATCACACTATGTATCATTTGTGTATCATACATGTATCATATTTGTATCAATTATGTATCACATGTATATCCATGTATATCTGTGTGTGAGATACATGCGTGATACATGTTTGATACATGTGTCGCAGAAGACTTTTTTGAACTCGATTTAATTACGAATTTTGATACAAAACCAGTCCAAATCACCTCCAATCTTCCTCAAATTTTGTATATTGGCTTATCTATATATTTTCAATGAATTTCAACTATACCCATTGAAAAAGTTCCTTTTTTGTTTAGATTTTTGGAATATTGTATAGATTTTTGTATTTCATCACCTTATTTGCTACCCCGTCCATGAAATTTCCTTTCCGTCTTGTATCTAATGTTGCTAATCACGCTTAAAAATATGGAAGGTGATTTTTGCATGTGATTCTTTGAGAGAAAGAACCCTATTATTTGGTTTTTCAATTTTTGTTGGCTAGTTTTGGTAAGTCTATGACTAATGGCTAGAGGTTGGTAAGTTGGGATTTATTTGGGACATTTGTGCAAGTTTCCCTAATATTTAGTGTAATATTGAAGATAGTCTAAGGATGGGGCTGCCCTTATTCTTCCTAGTAGGATTTCTAATGAATATTATCAAAAAAGAGCTGCATATTAGATATAGAGGAAGCAAATTAGGGTGAGAAGTAGTTTTGGGACTCTCCATTTAGACCAAAATAAGTTGGAGGTTTTTTTTTTTTTTTTAGGGGGGGGGGTGGGGGGGGGGGGGGGTTGGAGGAGAAGGGCTAGGGGAACAAGAACCTTAACCCTCACCAAAGGTTGGAAATCCCTATGCAGGTCACATAACTCAACTCTTACGATAACGAATCTAGTAAAGCATAACCATTATACAGGTAGTATGACTTAGCTTGCATAAAAAGTAGTAAGTCGGAGAGAATCAAACTAGAACTGAATTAATTCAAACTTACCTAATTAAATACTATCATGTGTAGAATATTGGGAAGTGGAATTTCAAAGATAAGACAACTACATAAACTATCACAAACCTGAGAAAACTGTTAAAACGTTTCAGTTTTCACTAGAGTCATCAATAAGAAACAATTAAATCATGCTTCCGCTTGTTCGTGGATTCCATGTTACAAGTAGATAAAGAAAAGCCCCTCTCTCGGCGGGACTCAAAATAGAGGAGGAGGAGATAAGCAAAGCTTATGTGGAAATAACTTACAAATCTGAATCAACTTCAGTAGTTACCTCGTTGTTGTACTCGAAAAATCACATTTATATCTTCATCAGACAGCGGTAAATTTATTTTGAGGTTCCTGCTATATATCATTTCTAATGTCAGTCCAGACATTGTTTAACTATTCTTGTTATGATGTCCATGTTATGCTCTTTGGTTTAGATTTATTATTTGATCATCATTTCATTTCTCTTCTTTGTTCAGGGCTGGAGGATTACAAGATAAAGAAGGTGGTATTAGGGAACTACTTGTAGGAAAGGACGATGAACTTCTTCAGACAGAAACAAGAACCATTGCCAGGGCTGATGTTGCAGAAGTTTGCATTCAGGTATATTACTCATTGGTCTTTGGTCTTTTTGTACTCTATCGAGATGTTTGCTGTTTCTTTGGTCAGCTTCAATGCTTCACGCTTACGACTCACTCCCTATAGCTTTGGTCTCTGGTTGCCGATCTTCTGAACCAAAACCTTCGTGGCATTTTTGTGTTCACAGGCACTTGAGTATGAGGAAGCTAAATTTAAGGCACTTGATCTGGCCTCAAAACCTGAGGGAACTGGCACACCGACCACAGATTTCAAGGCTCTATTTGCACAAATCAGTGCTCGTTTCTGATATACCGCTCACCATGACTATGTCCGAATTTTCATCACTCTATTATTCCAACATTTGTTCAAAAGTGAGGCTAAAACCTTAAGGTAGATAAGGCATCTGAGTTTGGTTGTACCATTGCCCGTCCCTCCCCCTTCCCCCCGCGCAGCAGCTAACTTCACTGATCCCATTGACTTGCCAATAGGTTCTGTGGCAACATCATATTTTATCAATTCAATGGCACAATGGAGGATTATATCATGTGCCTTTGTACATCTATCTGATGCTTGGGGGAAGGCAATAGACTCAATAACCATTTTTGAACTAGTGCAAGAGGACACTATATACTTGCTTCCATTGCATGTTTCACCAAGTAATATTTCATCTTTATGGTTATTATTGTATGCCTCCTCTTTTTTTTTTTTTTTTCTGGATTCACACCCGGCATTCGGTACCCATATGGGGGCTGATTAAATCCGGATTCGCGCCGGGAAGTCTCACACTGGGGGTAAAGCGCTTCCTAACAAAGGCGTATTATATGCCTCCTTGCTTGTAAATAAACTTATTTCATGGATTCAGTGATTTTCAAGTTCACAAGTAAATGGTTCCAAGCTTACATTGGAGAGTGAATTTCCATGATCTAATAAAGAATCAAACTCATTTAAAGAACTTTTCAATTTAGGTATCTTAGAATGTTGATATCATTTTGCTAATATTATTATGTAATACAACGTTTATTATTCTATATAATTCAAATCATTTGAGGATTCAAAGTTTAGTTTGTTAGGATTGGCCCTGAATTTCTAATCTATTAGGACTCTCTTTCTTGAAGGAATGGAAAAAGACTCCTAAAAGGATTAAATCTCCTTAATATGTCTTATCCTTTTCTTGGAAGACAAGTTTTCCATATCTATAAATTAAGGATCTCTGCTTCTTACAAGTGCACAGAAAAATATTCGCAATGTAGTCATTAAAGAGTTTTGTTTAGGGGGAGATTTTTCTCTCGATAGTTTTTCTTCTTTTATATCAGTTTTATAATATATAGATCAATTGTTCAAACAATTATAAACTATTATGATTAGTTTAGTATATTTTTCTTTTGTTGTCTGATTTATCATCCAACAAGCTTTGTAGTGTTAGTTTCCGCATGCACCATGTTATTTCGATCCCAACATAGTTGTCATTGCACAGAAAATTAATGCTGATTTGCTTAACCACAGTTAAGATTCACAACCCTGCTTACTTGGCTAGTTAATCTACTCTGTATATAGCATTTCACTAATCTTTTACCATTTTGGCACAACATTCTACATATCTGACCCATTCCCACAATAAATTATGAGCAATAACAAGTGATAGATTCTTGTGATTGGATGTCATGGCCCTTTTCCACAAGCTTAGCTCTAAATAGACTTGTACTTTGTGCTCTAAGAAGGATTTTCGCAAATGTCAAGCCACCATTTAGATTTTCTCTATTTTTAAAAGTACAAATATATTCATTGGGAGATTATCCTTCAGAATAACGTTAGACTCGGGTCTAATATTTGCTCAATCTTACAGTCAAAACATTAGATGATTGTAATATCTTATAAAAATTTTGACTATGTATTATTTTAGAAAAATATGAAGATAGCTGAATGACAATTCTTTTGATTACATCTACAATGATTTGAAACTAAAAGTCATCTAATGGAGTTAACATTATGAGTTTCACAAACATTTAAAAACCTAGTTTTAGTTGGCATATATCTTTCACCAACAACCCTTGATACCACTTAATCTTACATTCTTCTCATCACAGTCAAAGAATTAAATATTATCTCCATCTGGGAGCACTTTCTGACCAATCTTAAATCAATTCATAATTTAGCTACAACGTTAAAACTACCCCATGTTTTGATTGTATCGCATTTAGGTTTTTTAAACTAAAAGTCATCTAACCAAGTTATCGATATGACCTTGACAAAAATCTTTAAATTTGTTTAAATTAGCTTGCTTTTGACCAAGAACTATGATATTCATTTTCATTTTGTTTCTACTATTGATGCTTATGTGTCCGACGTGAAGGTAATTTAATTACTTTTAAGGGACACATATACTTGCTATCTTCCACCAACACAAGTTTCGGATAACTCTCCCACAAAAAACTTAGGCAAATGAGAACATATCATTTTTGTCTCTATATTGATTTTAACTATGACCGTCTTATGGTTTCACTTTTCACTCACTATAATAACCGTTAGGCTACACCTTTGCATGCGGCAAGAAGGTATATTGATCGCCCTAAAGGTTAAGTATACAACTAATTTTTTCGGATAATTACATGAGGTAACTTATGTATTTTCCCTATTTATTTTATACCAAAGGCTACGCAATGGCGAAATTGATCTGATTGGCTGTAGGTGAGTGGTTAAGCAACTTTCTCCTTATAGAATGAGGGAAAAGAGTGTCGGTATTATAATTTATATAAGTACATCACTTCTGTTGATATGTTATTTCCAAGATCACTGCTTCAGTTCATTTTTCATTGGTCCAAGAAAATATTAATATATACAAACTTATTGGCAAGCACCATGTGTTTGTCAGTGGCGTTTCAGCCGTTATTTGTGCTTATTAACCTATATAAAATTCTTTTTTCTTGTTTTGACTGCAATTTTAAGAACAAGTCCCGTCAAAATCTAGGAAATATGTACACCTACCACCAAGTTAAAATTATCCACGACTATAGATGTATTTAGAGCGGTTCTGTGAGTTAAACTGAATTCAATATATATATATATATATATATATATATATATATATATATATATATATATATATATATATACACACGATTACACTCAATCTGAACTTACAGACTTTAAATTCTCAATCTGCCTTAGTTTGCAAGCTTTATTATATCAAGGGGTCAAGCAAGTTGAGATAAATTTGTTTTTGTGTATATATACCTCGAGTTACTGCATCCTGAGCAATCAAAGTTTTCAAAAAGCTCTCTGCGCAATGAATTAATGGGCCAAATAGTATAATTTTACTAACTTTTAAGAATCCTCTAATAAGGTCAAAATTGTATGGCGTAGCCAGTTTTCCGGATGGCTATTGAAAAATAGCCACCGATTTAAATGTAATCGATTTTTAGCCATTTTAACTTAAATTATATGGTAAAATGATATAACTGCCCTTGACCTGTTTAACATACTGTTTAGTATCTTTTATCGTCTTTCTCTTTATTTTTGTAGCATTGTACGAATTCCGCTTTTCTGAGAAAGTAGTTTTCTTCGAATCTTGTCTGGGTTATCTCCAATTTTCTTCAAAATTATGGGTGAGTTTTGTTTTTTTACGATAATGTGTTTGAATTTTTGTTATTATTGTTGGTTTTTTATGTTTAATTTTCGTTATTATTATTGATTTCCGTACCGTTAGGGTTTAAATATTTGTTCTATTATAACTTTTACGACTTTTCTCTCTTTATTAGTTTCTCTTATTTCTGTTAATTTTGTCACTCTGGTAATTTCTTTTTCAAGTTTTTTCTAGTATCTGTATATTAGGTTTAATTTTCAAGTATTTTGTTGTTTCATCTATATTTTTCTTCAGTTCTTTTCGAATTTTGATATAATTGAGTTTTGTTTCATTCCATTATATTTTACGGGAGGTCTGTTGTGTGCGAATAGTAGACGTCTACTGTGTGCGTTTTGAATTATATTTTTTGTATATTAAATTTAGTAAAAATTTTCCAGTATATTATACTGGAAGTTTGTGTTGTACATGTTTATCTTCCAGTATGTTATACTGGATGAATATTATAATATAATTGAGTTTTGTTTCATTCCATTATATTTTACGGGAGGTCTGTTGTGTGCGAATAGTAGACGTCTACTGTGTGCGTTTTGAATTATATTTTTTGTATATTAAATTTAGTAAAAATTTTCCAGTATATTACTGGAAGTTTGTGTTGTCTATGTTTATCTTCCAGTATGTTATACTGGATGAATATTATAATATAGTTGAGTCTTGTTTTATGCCAGTATATTTTACGGGACATCTGCTGTGTGCGAAAAGTACACGTCTACTGTGTTCGTTATGATTATGTTTTTTGTATATTAAATTTAGTAAAATTTTGTCCAGTATATTATACTGGAAGTGTGTGTTGTCTATGCTTATCTTCCAGTATGTTATACTGGATGAATATTATAATATAGTTGAGTCTTGTTTCATGCCAGTATATTTTACGGGACATCTGCTGTGTGCGAATCTTTGCTCCAGTATATTATACTGGACAAGTTCTGTTATTACTGTTTTTTGGGTGATTATTTGTCTTCTTTTTTTATATTACAATCTTTGTTTCTTTATATAATTCATAAGATTTTTTTCTTGTATGTTATACTGGTTGATTATTATACTTTGCTTTTTGATTATGTTTCTTGTGTTTACCCCAGTATTTTTTTCTTTAGTTTCATATCTCAAGACTTTCTTGTCCTGTTCATTTTACTGGATGAATTCTGTTTATAATTTATTTCACAATATATATATATATATATATATATATGTATATATATACATATATATGTATATATATATACTGAATTCTGTTTGTAATATGTTCTTTTTCTTAGATGCTATAGAATAGGAATCTACTACCTAGGATATTGAAGGTATGCTATTNGTCTTGTTTTATGCCAGTATATTTTACGGGACATCTGCTGTGTGCGAAAAGTACACGTCTACTGTGTTCGTTATGATTATGTTTTTTGTATATTAAATTTAGTAAAATTTTGTCCAGTATATTATACTGGAAGTGTGTGTTGTCTATGCTTATCTTCCAGTATGTTATACTGGATGAATATTATAATATAGTTGAGTCTTGTTTCATGCCAGTATATTTTACGGGACATCTGCTGTGTGCGAATTGTACACGTCCACTATGTGCGTTTTGATTATTTTTTTTGTATATTAAATTTAGTAAAGTTTTGTCCAGTATATTATACTGGGAGTCTGTGTTGTCTATGTTTAGCTTTCAGTATGTTATACTGGATGAATAGTATAATATAGTTGAGTCTTGTTTCATCCCAGTATATTTTACGGGACTTCTGCTGTTTTGTAAGCTTTGCTCCAGTATATTATACTGGACAAGTTCTGTTATTACTGTTTTTTGGGTGATTATTTGTCTTCTTTTTTTATATTACAATCTTTGTTTCTTTATATAATTCATAAGATTTTTTTCTTGTATGTTATACTGGTTGATTATTATACTTTGCTTTTTGATTATGTTTCTTGTGTTTACCCCAGTATTTTTTTCTTTAGTTTCATATCTCAAGACTTTCTTGTCCTGTTCATTTTACTGGATGAATTCTGTTTATAATTTATTTCACAATATATATATATATATATATATATGTATATAT